AACCCTAACCCTAACCCTAACCCTAACCCTAACCCTAACCCTAACCCTAACCCTAACCCTAACCCTAACCCTAACCCTAACCCTAACCCTAACCCTAACCCTAACCCTAACCCTAACCCTAACCCTAACCCTAACCCTAACCCTAACCCTAACCCTAACCCTAACCCTAACCCTAACCCTAACCCTAACCCTAACCCTAACCCTAACCCTAACCCTAACCCTAACCCTAACCCTAACCCTAACCCTAACCCTAACCCTAACCCTAACCCTAACCCTAACCCTAACCCTAACCCTAACCCTAACCCTAACCCTAACCCTAACCCTAACCCTAACCCTAACCCTAACCCTAACCCTAACCCTAACCCTAACCCTAACCCTAACCCTAACCCTAACCCTAACCCTAACCCTAACCCTAACCCTAACCCTAACCCTAACCCTAACCCTAACCCTAACCCTAACCCTAACCCTAACCCTAACCCTAACCCTAACCCTAACCCTAACCCTAACCCTAACCCTAACCCTAACCCTAACCCTAACCCTAACCCTAACCCTAACCCTAACCCTAACCCTAACCCTAACCCTAACCCTAACCCTAACCCTAACCCTAACCCTAACCCTAACCCTAACCCTAACCCTAACCCTAACCCTAACCCTAACCCTAACCCTAACCCTAACCCTAACCCTAACCCTAACCCTAACCCTAACCCTAACCCTAACCCTAACCCTAACCCTAACCCTAACCCTAACCCTAACCCTAACCCTAACCCTAACCCTAACCCTAACCCTAACCCTAACCCTAACCCTAACCCTAACCCTAACCCTAACCCTAACCCTAACCCTAACCCTAACCCTAACCCTAACCCTAACCCTAACCCTAACCCTAACCCTAACCCTAACCCTAACCCTAACCCTAACCCTAACCCTAACCCTAACCCTAACCCTAACCCTAACCCTAACCCTAACCCTAACCCTAACCCTAACCCTAACCCTAACCCTAACCCTAACCCTAACCCTAACCCTAACCCTAACCCTAACCCTAACCCTAACCCTAACCCTAACCCTAACCCTAACCCTAACCCTAACCCTAACCCTAACCCTAACCCTAACCCTAACCCTAACCCTAACCCTAACCCTAACCCTAACCCTAACCCTAACCCTAACCCTAACCCTAACCCTAACCCTAACCCTAACCCTAACCCTAACCCTAACCCTAACCCTAACCCTAACCCTAACCCTAACCCTAACCCTAACCCTAACCCTAACCCTAACCCTAACCCTAACCCTAACCCTAACCCTAACCCTAACCCTAACCCTAACCCTAACCCTAACCCTAACCCTAACCCTAACCCTAACCCTAACCCTAACCCTAACCCTAACCCTAACCCTAACCTCCTAACCCTAACCCTAACCCTAACCCTAACCCTAACCCTAACCCTAACCCTAACCCTAACCCTAACCCTAACCCTAACCCTAACCCTAACCCTAACCCTAACCCTAACCCTAACCCTAACCCTAACCCTAACCCTAACCCTAACCCTAACCCTAACCCTAACCCTAACCCTAACCCTAACCCTAACCCTAACCCTAACCCTAACCCTAACCCTAACCCTAACCCTAACCCTAACCCTAACCCTAACCCTAACCCTAACCCTAACCCTAACCCTAACCCTAACCCTAACCCTAACCCTAACCCTAACCCTAACCCTAACCCTAACCCTAACCCTAACCCTAACCCTAACCCTAACCCTAACCCTAACCCTAACCCTAACCCTAACCCTAACCCTAACCCTAACCCTAACCCTAACCCTAACCCTAACCCTAACCCTAACCCTAACCCTAACCCTAACCCTAACCCTAACCCTAACCCTAACCCTAACCCTAACCCTAACCCTAACCCTAACCCTAACCCTAACCCTAACCCTAACCCTAACCCTAACCCTAACCCTAACCCTAACCCTAACCCTAACCCTAACCCTAACCCTAACCCTAACCCTAACCCTAACCCTAACCCTAACCCTAACCCTAACCCTAACCCTAACCCTAACCCTAACCCTAACCCTAACCCTAACCCTAACCCTAACCCTAACCCTAACCCTAACCCTAACCCTAACCCTAACCCTAACCCTAACCCTAACCCTAACCCTAACCCTAACCCTAACCCTAACCCTAACCCTAACCCTAACCCTAACCCTAACCCTAACCCTAACCCTAACCCTAACCCTAACCCTAACCCTAACCCTAACCCTAACCCTAACCCTAACCCTAACCCTAACCCTAACCCTAACCCTAACCCTAACCCTAACCCTAACCCTAACCCTAACCCTAACCCTAACCCTAACCCTAACCCTAACCCTAACCCTAACCCTAACCCTAACCCTAACCCTAACCCTAACCCTAACCCTAACCCTAACCCTAACCCTAACCCTAACCCTAACCCTAACCCTAACCCTAACCCTAACCCTAACCCTAACCCTAACCCTAACCCTAACCCTAACCCTAACCCTAACCCTAACCCTAACCCTAACCCTAACCCTAACCCTAACCCTAACCCTAACCCTAACCCTAACCCTAACCCTAACCCTAACCCTAACCCTAACCCTAACCCTAACCCTAACCCTAACCCTAACCCTAACCCTAACCCTAACCCTAACCCTAACCCTAACCCTAACCCTAACCCTAACCCTAACCCTAACCCTAACCCTAACCCTAACCCTAACCCTAACCCTAACCCTAACCCTAACCCTAACCCTAACCCTAACCCTAACCCTAACCCTAACCCTAACCCTAACCCTAACCCTAACCCTAACCCTAACCCTAACCCTAACCCTAACCCTAACCCTAACCCTAACCCTAACCCTAACCCTAACCCTAACCCTAACCCTAACCCTAACCCTAACCCTAACCCTAACCCTAACCCTAACCCTAACCCTAACCCTAACCCTAACCCTAACCCTAACCCTAACCCTAACCCTAACCCTAACCCTAACCCTAACCCTAACCCTAACCCTAACCCTAACCCTAACCCTAACCCTAACCCTAACCCTAACCCTAACCCTAACCCTAACCCTAACCCTAACCCTAACCCTAACCCTAACCCTAACCCTAACCCTAACCCTAACCCTAACCCTAACCCTAACCCTAACCCTAACCCTAACCCTAACCCTAACCCTAACCCTAACCCTAACCCTAACCCTAACCCTAACCCTAACCCTAACCCTAACCCTAACCCTAACCCTAACCCTAACCCTAACCCTAACCCTAACCCTAACCCTAACCCTAACCCTAACCCTAACCCTAACCCTAACCCTAACCCTAACCCTAACCCTAACCCTAACCCTAACCCTAACCCTAACCCTAACCCTAACCCTAACCCTAACCCTAACCCTAACCCTAACCCTAACCCTAACCCTAACCCTAACCCTAACCCTAACCCTAACCCTAACCCTAACCCTAACCCTAACCCTAACCCTAACCCTAACCCTAACCCTAACCCTAACCCTAACCCTAACCCTAACCCTAACCCTAACCCTAACCCTAACCCTAACCCTAACCCTAACCCTAACCCTAACCCTAACCCTAACCCTAACCCTAACCCTAACCCTAACCCTAACCCTAACCCTAACCCTAACCCTAACCCTAACCCTAACCCTAACCCTAACCCTAACCCTAACCCTAACCCTAACCCTAACCCTAACCCTAACCCTAACCCTAACCCTAACCCTAACCCTAACCCTAACCCTAACCCTAACCCTAACCCTAACCCTAACCCTAACCCTAACCCTAACCCTAACCCTAACCCTAACCCTAACCCTAACCCTAACCCTAACCCTAACCCTAACCCTAACCCTAACCCTAACCCTAACCCTAACCCTAACCCTAACCCTAACCCTAACCCTAACCCTAACCCTAACCCTAACCCTAACCCTAACCCTAACCCTAACCCTAACCCTAACCCTAACCCTAACCCTAACCCTAACCCTAACCCTAACCCTAACCCTAACCCTAACCCTAACCCTAACCCTAACCCTAACCCTAACCCTAACCCTAACCCTAACCCTAACCCTAACCCTAACCCTAACCCTAACCCTAACCCTAACCCTAACCCTAACCCTAACCCTAACCCTAACCCTAACCCTAACCCTAACCCTAACCCTAACCCTAACCCTAACCCTAACCCTAACCCTAACCCTAACCCTAACCCTAACCCTAACCCTAACCCTAACCCTAACCCTAACCCTAACCCTAACCCTAACCCTAACCCTAACCCTAACCCTAACCCTAACCCTAACCCTAACCCTAACCCTAACCCTAACCCTAACCCTAACCCTAACCCTAACCCTAACCCTAACCCTAACCCTAACCCTAACCCTAACCCTAACCCTAACCCTAACCCTAACCCTAACCCTAACCCTAACCCTAACCCTAACCCTAACCCTAACCCTAACCCTAACCC